TCTGAAGCCAGAAGCCAGGAACTTCCTCCAGGTCTCCCACATGGGCGCAGGGTCCCAAGGCTTTGGGCCGCCCTCGACTGCTTTCCCAGGCCACAGGCAGGGAGCTGGATGGGAAGTGGAGCTGCCGGGATTAGAATTGGTGCCCATATGGAATCCTGATGCGCTCAAGGTGAGGACTTTAGCTGTTAGGCCACTGCGTCAGGCCCTCTGCATAATCTTTAATGAGACTAATTCAAATCAGTTAGGAGTACATGTTCTATTCAGGTAAATTATGGAGTATGGTTGAATGAGATCTTTTAGGAGATTACAACTGGTAAGTCCTAGCCCATATCTGCTATGTCTCCCCTCCAGGATTAATTTGTTTTTATTTGAGAGGAGAGACACAGAGGACAGACAGAGAGAGATCCCCCATCCGCTGGTTCACTCCCCAAACAGCCATAATGGCTGCAGCTGAGCCACTCTGAAGCCAGGAACCAGGAGCGTCCCCCAATCCCCCACATGGGTGCAGGGACCCAAGGACTGGAGCAATCCTCCGCTGTCCTCCCAGCCCACCAGCAGGGAGCTGGATCAGAGTGGAGCAGCTGGGATTAGAACCACTACCCACATAGGATACCGATGCTGAACCACAGCCCAAGCCTCAATCCTAAGGTCTTTGAGCCATCCCAGTGAAATCCTCCTTTAAAATTTTGACAAAAGCCCCTATGTAAAAGAAATATTTACCTGATGTATTGCCAGACCCATGCAAGCCAAGGTCCTCTCGGGTGCATCCCTCAGTTCATGCGCTATATTTGGTATTAAATTAGTTAATTTATCATCTTCTATCAGTTCTTTAAAATCCACCAAAATGCTCCCTTTTCTTTCTATTTCATCCTATGAAATATTAAGGTATTAATACAATAATTACACTCTTGAAGCTGATCAGCTTAGCCAAGCATTCCATCATACATTTTCAGAAAGCACTTCTTCTTTGCTGACCACGGTGAGCACTGTAAGAGCTCTGTGTCAAGCATGAGTTTACATCTATTAACTTACTCATGCTTATTAGCAAATCTTTGAGGTAGATGTTTTCGTTCTTCTCTCCAAGTGACACATGAGAAAAATCAAGGAAATAGACAGGTGACAGATGAAGATGGGCTGGCACATCTGTTGTGGAGGAATCTTACCTTATCGTATAAATCAATACGCCTCGTGAAAAACTGCTCAAATGCTTGAATCTTCTCAATACAGAAAGAGCCATCACTGTAAACTAATCAACAAGGACAGCATTAGCAGTAACACTCACACGTGGACAAGCCCGTTTTTAAGAAACACTACATACATAGCAGGTGCCTTTTTCCTATTACTTTGTTTTATGATTAAGTAAACATATCCCCGAGCTTCAAACACAAGACTAGGTTTGCAGAATCTACAATGCAGACAGGAATTGGCTGACAAGCCTCAGCATCCAGGAAACCTTGTAACAAGTCCTTCCACACAGAACAGGGCATTGTCAAAGAGGTTACACAGTAAGTTTAAATTAAAAATTGAAGCCTCCACTGAACAGAGCTGAAGATCAGCAGTCTTCCCAAAGTAAATTCTACTAGTCCAAACTCCACCGGTCCAATCCTCTCGCAAAACGAGGACCCCCAAAGCCTTTACATTCTAGAATATAGTCAACTTGGTCTCCCACAGAGAAACACAGTTCAATGATGTAGTTTGGAAACATAGCTAGTCAAGGCCAAGGTGCCTACAGCCAGTTTAAAGATCACCTACAAAAATAAAGAAATAAAAAATAAAGATCATCTACAGTGCTCTAAGCTAACTGCTGAAGAAATATAAGTATTGACAGCTAATGCACTCAATACTAACAAAAGATCACCCATGAAATCTGTGTCTACAGAATGGAAACAGATTCCCAACACAAAAAAAGACCTATGAAGCACTATGCAAAACATTCTTGATGTTTATGCATATTTTTTCATAATACACAATCCCCGACTTTTGGAAGAGCTCCGGTGAATCTATTTTAAAATGCCATACTTCACAAGAGACAGGGCAGATCGACGCAGTGAGGTACAGGAGCGCGCTCCCTGCATCTCCCGACAGAGGCACGACGTTAGCCTGTGTTCTTGAGGATCAAAGACAAACTCCACAAGTCGGTTCCCACACCAACCTGCCAGAGGCCCCGTCTCTTGGTTCTAAGCTTGCTCTTCTGATCTGAACTCTACATGTCTGGAATTTCTCATCTACCAATTGAAGGCATTTTAGGGACAGGGAAGTGCGACAATTCTTGCTGGTTCCCATTCTTTCCAACATCTTCCCAGCTGTAGGGAATAACCGTTGTTCCAAGCTCCAGCTCAAGAACTAAACGGGTCCTGATCTCCCAAGCGCTCCCAGCAGTAACCATCTCCCTCGACTTCAGCGATCCATGCAGGGCTTTACAGGGTTAGCCCACTGAGGTCCAAGCCCCGTTTTGTAAGGTGCTCCTCTACATTAGCAACAAAGGTATGCTGTGGTCCCCAGTGCAAATTCCTAAGTTTAGGAACACTCAACTAGGACATATGAGTACTCCAAATAACGGTGGGAAAGGGGAAGAGCAATGCGGTACAGTGGGTTAAGCCGCTGCCTTCAGTGCCAGTACCTCATATGGAGCCCTGTTCAATTTCTGGCTGCTCCACCCAGAATCCAACACCCTGCTAATTCACCTGGGAAAGCAGTGGAAGATGGTCCAAGAACGAGGGCTCCTGGCTCAGCCTCAGCCACTGGCACTTTGGGAGGCAAACCACTGAATGGAAAACTGCTTTCTCTCAACTCTGCCTTTCAAATAAATACATAAGTTTTTTTTTTTTTTTTAATTATGTAACACGTAATTAAGCATGTATTTTGGCGCAAAAGTCTGACATTCTGTTCAAGGGTTCTTCAAAAAGTTCACAAAAGAAATGCATATTATGAAAATCTGCATGAAATCCGAAATCACTCGCAGCAAAATGAACATTTTAATTCTACTTTCCATATTTTGCTCCTAGCAATAGCCCAAAAGAACTCCAGTAACAAGCGATAGAGCACCCAGAGTGCCTCCTGCACTTCCAACGCTACCTTCAGAGAAATACAGCTTCCAGCCTTTGTAGGGTATGAACTGCTCCAACGTCGACTGCAGCAGCAAAGGCGCTGAGTTCTGTTCTGAGGGGAAAAGAAAAAAACCAGCACACTAGGTCAGCAGAAACAGAGCACACACGTTTTTCGCCCACTTGTTCCTCCCTCCAACATTGACGACTTGACAATAAAAGAGTGACCATGCTGGAGGTTTCAGTCAGAATTTTGGATACCAACATTCAGACAGGAGCTCTGAGCAACACCAAAGGCCATGTGAGGTCAACACCCCTTACCTCACAGTGGGCGGGCCTGGCTTCACTTACTCAGGCTGAAGGACCAAGGCCATCCCCATGTCCCCCAGTGACTCGGGCTGAAGGACCAAGGCCATCCCCACGTCCCCCAGTGACTCAGGCTGAAGGACCAAGGCCATCCCCAAGTCCCCCAGTGACTCAGGCCGAAGGACCAAGGCCATCCCCAAGTCCCCCAGTGACTCAGGCCGAAGGACCAAGGCCATCCCCAAGCCCCCCAGTGACTCAGGCCAAAGGACCAGGCAGTCCCCATGTTCCCCAGTGACTCAGGCCGAAGGACCAAGGCCGCCCCAGGGACTCAGGTCGAAGGACCAAGGCCATCCCCAAGCCCCCCAGTGACTCAGGCCAAAGGACCAGGCAGTCCCCATGTTCCCCAGTGACTCAGGCCGAAGGACCAAGGCCGCCCCAGGGACTCAGGTCGAAGGATCAAGGTGTCCCCCTGTCCCCCCAGTGACTTACTCAGCTCGGGTCTGTGCTCCCTTGGCCTCCATCTTCCCGAGCTGTTCCCACCACCTCTGCCTCTTTTCCAGCTGTGGAATCTTCCTCGTCCAAACCCTCTGCCTCTGTATTCCCCAGCCATGCCCCTTAAAAGAAAAAAACAAAAACAAAAACAACTCATTTGAAATCTCTACCAAAAGTGTAGAAGAAACAGTGTTGCTAGCAATAAAACGGGAAAAAATGGAATGGATTCTACTGAGAGTAGCAACACTGCATTCTGACAGACCACCCACATCCTCTGAGGGTTTGCTTAAACAACTCCTGGCTCTAGGAATAAAGATGAGAGATACTGCATTGTGAGGGTGCTTCTGCACAGATAACCTGTGGGCAATCCGCCCAACACAACCCAGACCCGAGTCTGCAGCACATACAACTGCTGGCCAATCTTCCCCGTAAATCTCAACGCGTTCTAAACAATAAATACTAAAGCCCATTCTAAAGAGAATGCATATCTTTATGGTAAAAATAAACAAGGAAATATGCCATTCGTGAAGGAAAAACCTATCCGAAATTTTATTTACAGGGGACTCGGTGAACGTTAATCATGAAAAGGTTGGTCAATTTTAAGGAGAGACAAGGACTTTAAGAAATCAGCTAGACCTTATGACACACACAAGAACGCTGGACTACACAGTGACAGGTGGGGCTCTCTCAGCTCCTGTCTCCTTGGGGCCAGTTCCCTCTAGCCTGGCACCGAGGATCCCCAAAACTCTTTGGGGTACGCGACGACCCGCCCTCCCGGGACAGCCCCTGCAGGGCCCCGCCGCCCCGCGCCAGGCCGACCTGACTGTCCACTGCGGGACACAGAACCGCACATCAGGCCGAAACCCAACCGCCTTCCAAATTCCTTTTTGGCGCGTCTGTGATGTCAGCTCCGGCCCGGGCAGCCGCAAGGGCGGCGGGGCGGGGCGAAGCGCAGCCAATCAAAGAGTTCAGCCAAACGGAAGCCTGGAGGCTCCGGAAGCGAGCTTGGGCTTCGGAGCGGAAAGCGGAAGCGCCGTGCTGCACGTGGGGGCGGCCCCGGTTCCGGGCTCTGGTCGTCCGGCTGCTGGGCGGTGAGGCCGATGGCCTCGGTCACGGCCCCTGGCGAGGAGGGGCCCGGCGGCGCAGGGGGCGCCGGGCAGCCCCAAGACTGGCTGAGCGTCGGCATGGAGGGCGCGGGGGAGCCGCGGCCCGCCGACCACTGCATCCGGGACGGGGACTTCGTGGTGCTGAAGCGGGAAGACGTGTTCAAAGCGGTGCAGGTGCAACGGAGAAAGTGAGATTGCTGGCTGGGGACGGGGAGCTTTCCCCAGGTCCTGGACACCCTCCTCTACATCCCCCCAGGACCCAGTTCTCGGCTCTCTGAGTTCGCGTCCTCACCCCGACTTCCCCTCCAAGACCCCATTCTCGCATGTCTGGGTTCGCATCCTCACCCAGCTCCCTTCCAGAACTCTGTTCTTACCTGTCTCTCTGGGTTCGCATCCTCGTCCTGACTCCCCCTCCAGGAGTTCTTGCCTGTCTGGGTTCGCATCCTCACCCAGCTCCCCTCCAGGGCCCGGTTCTTGCCTGTCTCTCTGGGTTCGCATTCTCATCCAGCTCCCTTCCAGAGCTCTGTTCTCACCTGTCTTTCTGGGTTCGTATCCTCGTCCCGACTCCCCCTCCCGGACCTCCGTCTTCCCTGTCTGGGTTCGCATCCTTGCCCCGGTCGCTTCTCACCGCTGTTCCTTGCCCAGCAGAGTCTGTTTCCACCAGGATTTTTCTCCATCTACGGCTCTTGCTGACCATGGCCCCACACCTGGCCTCTCCCCCTTAGGGTCCCCTTCCAGGCTTGGCCGGGTTTCTGCCCCAGGATCCATTCTGGGTCCTCAGCCCTTCTCCACTGCCCAGTCCTTTATCCTGGAGTTCTTCTCCTAGCTTGGCAGGATGGGGTGGGGAGGGGTCCTCTCCTCCTCCACCCACCTCCAGACTCGGTCTTGCCTCTCTGAGTCCGTGTTGCCCAGCAGTCACTCTGCTGTGGATGTGGGCCCTGCTGTAAGGTCAAGTGGTGCTTTGCAAGACCCTTAGGTGTTTGCTGGAATGGACCTGGTGTGCTGGAAGAAACCATCCTTGATGCTTTGGCAGCCCTGGATGTGAATTGCAGGCCTGGCCCCGTGTAACTGAACAAGGTCCTTCTCCGGGAAGCTCCACTCCAGGATTACTGTGAGAATGAGAAAGCGTGAGACTCATGTGGTGTGCACATGTAGCCTCCGCTGGCACTTGCGGGAATCTTCTTAAAGGCTTTTGTGAGATTCCCACCCAGATTGCGGGGAGATAAGCATCTGGGCCACTGAGTGCCTGAAATCAGCCTTCCGCAGAGTCTTGTGGGTGTAAGGTGCTTTTTGCAGGGGGGTCGTGTTAGCACCTGCTGGGCTGTGGGGCACACATGTTGACTCCACTGTGGTGACATTGGAAGCAAGCAGCATGTCCCTGAGAGGAGTGCTGTAGGAGTTCCCTGCTAGGAACAGGGCTGAGAGGATACATTGTTGACTCCAATAAAGATAAAAGCTGGCCAAGGCTCCGGGCCTTTACAGAGCAGGAGGTCCACAGGCTGTGGGGGCCAGAATCCTACATCGTGGCTTCTTAGGAACTCTGTCTTAAAAACCTAATATAGGGCCCGGCGCAGTGGTCTTGTTGCTAAAGTCCTCGCCTTGCATGTATCGAGATCCCATGTGGGCATGGAGCTTCCCCTCCAGCTCCCTGCTGGTAGCCTAGGAAAGCAGTCAAGGACAGCCTATGGCTTTGGAATGCTGCACCCACATGGGAGAACTTGAAAGAGACTCTGGGCTCCTGACATCAAATTGGCTCAGCTCCGGCCATTGCGGTCACTTGGGACAGATCTGTCTCTCCCTCTCTGTATATCTGACTTTGCAGTAAAAATAAATAAATAGACCCTAACATATAGATTGTTACTAATGTTTATTTGTAAACGTAACTTGCTTTTATCAGACAATTTTTAAATTAAATGGCCAGGAGCTGAGAGATTGTTGTTTCTGATCCTCTGGGGGGCTGTGCTGTCTTGAGGCTTTCCTGGTGTCAGTTGCATGGGCGTCCCGGGACTTGTCGGGGTCTCAGCCTTGCCCACTCTGAGGAAAGCGCCAAGGCCTGTAAGTGGAGAGCTCCTTGCTGCCGTGCAGACTGGAGCAGCTGTTGACCCTGGAGAATCCTTGCAGAATTCACAGTTTCTAGAGCTTCTCTGTTCGCTTCGCATCTCTCAACACAGTTCTCTTGACTTGTTTTTTGTGCAGAGATAATACTACTGACTGCTGGGGCGGCTCCTTTTAAAATAAACTGGGGTGAATACGTCTTTTCTACTCTGTTTGCAAAGGAAATTCAACTGATTGATTGTGTTTCCCCCACCCCAGAAAAGTGACTTTTGAGAAGCAGTGGTTCTACCTGGATAATGTCATTGGCCACAGCTATGGGACCACCTTTGAGGTGACCGGAGGAGGGAGCCTTCAGCCCAAGAAGAAGAAGGAGGAGGAGCCCACTGCAGGTGCGGTCAGAGACCTGTCAGCTTCCGCTTCTCCCTCGGTGCTGTCCAGACTGGCCCGCTGGAACGGGAGAAACACAGTGCTGCCTTCCACTGCCAGCTAGCCTGGATCCGCACTCGCCCTGCTCTTACCTGGCTGTCGGCCTCGGGCCTGGCAGCTAACCCTGGGAGACCCTGCTGCCTCAAGGCCAGGGTACACAGGGCACCCCTTCAGGGCCGGAGTCGGGGTCAGCTGGAAGGCAGCTGAGATGCTCTGGAGGGTTAGAAAAGGAAATGAGGAAGTTCATTTTAGTGCAAGAAATGTTGCAAATCTGTGTACAGTTTTTTTCAAAATATGCATAATTCATGAGGCTTGTGAAGACTTCTTCACTATTTTTGCATTTGCTATTAATCTTTAAAGATTTGTTTATTTTTTATTGGAAAGTGAGATATACAGAGAAGAGAGAGGAAGATCTTCCATCCGTTGGTTCGCTCCCCAAGTGGCTGTATTGGTTGGAGCTACGCCGATTTGAAGCCAGGAGTCAGGAGCTTCTTATGGGTCTCTCACATGGATGCAGGGTCCCAAGGCTTTGGGCCATCTGCCACTGCTTTCCCAGGCCACAAGCAGGGAGCTGGATGGGAAGCGGGGCCGCCAGATTTAGAACCGGCACCCATATGGGGTCCCGATACATGCAAGGCGAGGACTTTAGCCACTAAGCTGCAGCACTGGGCCCTTGCCATGATTTTTTAAGCATTCTTGTACTTAATGCTTAAGTTCTGGATATTATAATGTGAATTTCAGTAAGATCCTCACAGTATTTTGTCTGCAATGAGTTCTCCATAACTAGCTATTATTAATCATCGTTAATTAAAAGCAAATACTTAAATATTCAGAGTAATAATATTAATAAAAAGGTTGCCAGTGATAAAATATTTAAGTAATCACTAAAATAGTAGTAAGATTCTGGTGCTGCCCAGTTAATTAGATACATTTACATTAATGTCTACTTTTATTTTTTTTAAAGCACCAAAAATGTGCTAGTCATGTTTAGACGTTGTATTTACAGCAGTTCTTAGAATGTCCTTCCAGAGGACAGCAGATACAATCCCAGGGCTAAGTAGGCTGAGTTCTGGTGGCAGCGGTGCGCAGTGGCGAGCGTAAGGCAGGGCTCTTCCAGGGAAGGTTAGGGAAGGTGACCCTGGGCTGGGTGGGGACTGGGGAAGCCCCACTGCCTCCACTGCCCTAGCAGAACGAGTGGCAGACACCGAAGCCCTGGCTGGATGTGTTCGAGGGAGGAGACGAGGCAGTTAGAGTGAGACTTGGGGATTGAGAGATGGGGTAGGCAGTGATAAGGCGTGTGGGACCTTACAGGTCATGTTTGCAATGCGTTTTCATTCTTACTATTGCATGGCAATAAGCATCAGGGTAAATAAGCTCTCTGACCCCCCTGTGGACAGCATAGAGGTAAGAAACAAAAGCCACAAGAACGAGAGCCTTGCAGCAATCCTGGCGAGAAGTGGATGGGCTTGGCAACAGTGGAAATGGACTGCTAAACTTGGACTACAGGGCCCAGCATTCTACCCTAGCAGCTAAAGTCCTCACCTCACATGCGTAGGGATCCCATATGGGCTCCAGCTCCCTGCATGTGGCCTGGGAAAGCAGGGGCAGATGGCCCAAAGCCTTGGGACCGTGCACCAGTGTGGGAGACCCAAAAGAGGCACTGGGCTCTGGCTTTGGATTGCCTCAGCTCCAGCTGTTGCGGCCGCTTGGGAAGTGAGTCAACGGATAGAAGACCTTACTTTCTCTCCTCTGTATATCTGGCTTTGCAATTAAAAAAATAAATAAATCTAAAAAAAATTTTTTTTAAAGCTTGGGCTACAAAGCAATGTAAATTTGGAAAAATAAAAAACTGTATGATAGTTTCAGATCATAAATATCATGGGACAATTTCTTTCCTTAGAGACTAAAGAAGCAGGCACTGACAATAGAAATATAATCGATGACGGGAAATCGCAGAAACTCACTCAGGATGATATTAAAGCCTTGAAGGACAGAGGCATCAAAGGAGAGGTAATATTTGAAGAATTTTTTTTTTTTCGGTGTGTAGAAAACGTCTTCGTCTTTAAAGCAGGCTCTGCCCGAGCTAAAATGGAAGAGTGATGTTACTCTCCTGGCAGGAGGGTGAGGTGGACCTGTGCTCCGTATTCCAGTGTCTCACGCAGGGCCGTACGGTGAAGGACGACCTTCGCTCTCGCTGATACTGTCATAGCGAGCAGCGTGTGTGAGCTCTGAGTGCTGCTCCACATCGAACTCCGTTTCCCGCGAGTGCCTTGCATCCAGCAGGCTCCCTTCCCACTCGGCCGCCCTTTGCTGTGCTAACTCTGTTCTTTTACCCTGGCTCACACACTGCTTGATAGATTTTTTTATTTACAAGTTATCAGTAGAGTATGGCAGTATACAGACAAGAGTTCATCATCTGGACTGCTGTCCACGAGGAGATGGAGGGGCCGACGTGTGGATCCATTCTGGGATAAGGTACCTTTGAAGTGACTTGTGATAATAAAGTTTCAGAAAATCTGCTTGCTCCTTTTCTTGTAGGAAATAGTTCAGCAGTTAATTGAGAATAGTACAACATTCCGAGACAAGACAGAATTTGCCCAAGATAAATATATTAAAAAGAAGAAAAAGAAGTAAGTAGTTCATGATTGAAAAGGTCAAAACGTTTTCTTTTTATAAACGTGAAAATGTGCGTCTTGTTTAAAATATTCCATCTTGCATCATTTTTCCAAGTTGGTTCCAAGTTCTCTTTTTTTTTTCTTCACCCAGATACGAAGCAGTCATTACTGTTGTGAGGCCGTCCACTCGTATTCTTTCAATTATGTATTATGCAAGAGAACCTGGAAAAATTAAGTACGCTTTGTTTCCTTTCAAAAGTATAATTGGGGGAAAATGTGTCTTTAAGAAAGTCATGATTTTAAGTAAAATGAAAAATTTGCTCACCTGCATAAAGTGTCCTCCTCCTGCATAAATTTGTAAGTCCTTTACTGTCGCCTCCTAAGCAATCAATAATGTTATCAGCATAATTTGTATTATAAGAGAAAACTTGAAAAGTGATTGAAATCACAAGCTTCGTGTACCCGACGACGAGTGAACGAATCCTCCTTTCTTCCTTAGCCACATGAGGTACGACACGTTAGCACAGATGTTGACGCTGGGAAATATCCGCGCTGGCAATAAAATGATTGTCATGGAAACATGTGCAGGCTTGGTGCTGGGTGCAATGATGGAACGAATGGGAGGTAAGGGTCAGCTTTTTTTTTTTTTTTTTCATTAAAGAATGATTTTTAATTGCAAAGTCAAATATACAGAGAGAAGGAGAGACAGAGAGGAAAATCTTCTATCCGACAATTCACTCCCTAAGCGAACGCAACAGCTGGAGCTGAGCCAATCTGAAGCCAGGAGCCAGGAGCTTCCTTTGACTCTCGCATGTGAGTGCAAGGTTCCAAGGCCTGAACCATTCTTGACTGCCCTCCCAGGCCACAAACAGGGAGCTGGATGGGAAGCGGGGCTGCTAGGATAAGAGCCGGTGCCCATATGGGATCCTGACATGTACAAGGCGAGGACTTCAGCCGCAAAGCCATCGTGCTGCCTCCCAGAGTCGGCATTTTCTAATTCAGTAAGCCCCCACCCTGAGGAATCTGAAAGCTTGGACTCCCATGAAGCTAGATGGGCTAATGCAATAACGGGTGACCTGCACCGCTCCCGCCCCAGACCCTTCCCACACGGTGCACCTGTGTCATCCGGTGGTGCTGGTGATTTTCACATCTAGCTACAGCATCTTAGGAGATGGTTTTGGTGCCTGTGGCTGGCTAGGACTTGTCAAACCATGAATCGTGTATATTCTTGTGAGGCTGGCACTCATTGGCCCGAATTGAGTAGACTGAGTGGGAACGACATGAGGGATAGATTTTTCTCTCCTGAAAGAGCAGGGTCTGATTTGCTTGCCTTGCTGTCAACTAGAGGAAATAAGAGTTTTAAGTGCCCCTTCTTTCTGCATTGGGATGGAGGGTGGGAAGAATCAGTCACCGGTAATGACATCCAGATTTGCTTGATCACAGGGGTTTTTTTTGTTGTTGTTGTTTTAAGATTTATCTTGGTTTCTGTTTGAAAGGCGGAGTTACATAGAGGAGACAGAGTAAGGTCCTCTCTTGGTTTGCTTCCCAAATAGCCACATTGGCCAGAGCTGTGTGAGTCTGCAGCCAGGATCCAAGAAATTCTTCCATGTCTCTCACATGGGTGCATGATCTCAAGGCCATCCTCTGATGCTTGCCTGTGTCACAAGCAGGGAGCTGAATGGGAAGAGGAGCAGCTGGAACATAAGCTGGCACCCTAGGCAGAGGCTTAGCCTACTGTGTCATGGCGCTCAACTAGTTTGGGGTTTTCTTGCCTGCAGCAGGAGCGTTCCTAGGCCCCTGTGAAGCAGAGCCCCCATCGGTCTGATGCCGGGGAGGACCCTGTCGGGGTGTGGGCTCCGTGGGCCCCTCCATCATGTGGGTGTTTGTCTCCTTCGTCTGCACAGGTTTTGGCTCCATTATTCAGCTGTACGCTGGAGGTGGGCCTGTTCGGGCAGCAACGGCGTGCTTTGGATTTCCCAAGTCTTTCTTCAGTGGTCTTTATGAATTTCCCCTGAACAAAGTGGACAGTCTCCTCAATGGCACGTTTTCTGCTGAGATGTTGTTCTCAGAGCCCAAGGACAGCGCTACGCTTGAGGAAAGCAATGGGATTCTGGGGGGCAAGCAGGCTGCTGAAGCTGAAAGTGAGGACGGCCTGGCTGAGGCCCCGGAGAGCAACCTTCCAGAAGAGCAGGAGACGCTGGAAGAGGTTTCCCAGGATCCAGAGGATAAGGAGCCTAAAGAAAAAGACGGCAAGAGAGATTATGTAAGAATGGCCAGAGCCCCTGCTGGCCTGGTGATGTTCTGGGGCCTGCGGGGACTCTGCAGGCACTGAGGACATGAGCTCGTGGGATGGTAACTAGCTGTTCCCAAGAGCCGGAGAAGGAGTGTGTGTGTGCATGTGGGTGGCTTCAGCTTTCAGCGTGGGGCTTTGGGGTGCACAGGCATTGCCTGTCTAGCCTAATGATGGCTTTGTAAAATCCCAGCTTCATGTTCACCTTCCATGTAAGCAACCTCCTTCCGTAGGTTTAGGCTGTGTTGAGAAATACTGTTGAAGTATTTGGACAGGTGAGAATTTCCTTAAAGCCAACTGAATGACCTCAGTACTTCGGTTTCTCATTTTTCTTTTTGAAGATTCAGGAAAAACAACGGAGACAAGAAGAGCAGAGGAAAAGACGTTTAGAGGCAGCCACCCTGCTGAGTGAGAGAAACGCAGATGGGTGAGTGGGTAGCAGAATGCCAGAGACGTGGCAAGGCCCGCGTGGGCTGTGGGGACAGCAGTGAGGGTTTGGTCTTGGTTAGAGAGAGAGGAGCCTGGGTCTCAGAGGTGGCAAGGTGACCGATGGTTCTGGAAAGCTTCAGAACAGATTTGAACCATCTCGCACTCACAGTGCGCCAAACGTGACGGGCTCAGTACTCTCATCAGAGGCAGGTGGCCATTTGGCTTGCCAGTGCTGATGGCAAAGGCTGCTGAAAATTGGACAGGCAGAGGCCGAAGGAGACATCCAGAAAAGCAACAGACTTGTCTCCAGATGGTGTAATAAAGGCCCCAAATCACTAAAGGCCGTTTAAAATGACCTGGCACTGTCAAAGCTTATGATGTGGTTGGTATTTCCCGGAAAGGAAACGCTTGCGAGTTTATTCTGCTCTGAATGTCCACAGTATTTCAATCTCTTGGCTTTCGTGAGTTGTGCAGACAGGTGCATGACCAGTCCAGATGCCTTTTCAGGCCTGTGTGCCACGCTGAGGGAACAGAGACATGATCGATCCAATGGTTTGCTTGCAGCCTCATTGTAGCTAGTCGCTTCCATCCCACTCCATTGCTGCTGTCTCTGCTGGACTTCGTGGCGCCTTCAAGGCCGTTCGTGGTCTACTGTCAGTATAAGGAGGTAATACTGTGGTGGACTGGACGGGACCTCCTGTGCTTGAGTGTTGAGTCTAAGTGCCGCCCAGCAGGTTGTCCCTAACAACTCTGATTGTGCCTTCAGCCTCTGTTGGAGTGCTACACCAAACTGCGGGAGCGGGGCGGAGTCATCAATCTCAGGCTGTCGGAAACCTGGCTCCGGAACTACCAGGTGGGTGCTGCTCCCAGGGCTGCTCCAGGTCTTGGGGCCCTCGCTTTCCATCCACAGGGATGGGAGTGTCTCAGACCGACGGTAGAAAAAGGACCCTGACTACTTGTCCCTGTCTTGTCTTGTTTGTTGGGCATGTTGCCCTGAAAAATGTGTCAGTCCCAGGCCCTTGGTGGCACTGTGAGCAGTATAGTGTAGCCCTCTATGTCCTGCTGGTCATCCTTTATCTAATTTGGAAGTCAGGGTTTACAGAGAGAGGAAGAGAGAAACGGGTGCATATGCCTTCCTCAGTGGCCCCAATAGCCAGAGCTGGCCCTATCCGAAATCACGTGTCAGGAGCTTCTTCGGGGTCTCCACATGGGTGCAGGGTCCCAAGGCTTCATGCCACCCAGTGCCCGTATGGGATGATGGACTCACAGCTACACTGCTGGTCTTCATAGTCAGTTTTCAGGGTTTACTGTCTGGCTGTGTGTCAGTTCAGCACTTCAGAAGACTTCCCAAGGTGGCAGTTGAAGTAGAAAAGATTTGAGAGAAATGCCCTTGAAAGGTAAAAGGGGAGAAAGAATGACTTGACGCAGCGTACAGCCTGGGAGGGAAGGACTGCAGTGCCACTTTGGAAAAGCTGCAGCTGGGCCAGTGGGGACCTCAGGAGCCCGGGGTGCTGGTGAAGGGGTCCCGTGCTGGGCGGACAGAGCCCTCACTGCTGCCAGCTCAGCACTGTGGGAGCCTCGGAGGGCCACTGCCCTTGCAATGCTGTGGGTGCCAGAGCAGCTAAGCTGGAGGTTTTCTGCTGCCCAGAGGCCTGTTCCCTGAAGTAGGAAGTCCTGAGGGGGACTTCCATGCCGCCACTAGCCTGTCCTGCTGCATTGGCCCCAGATGCTGCGGTAGGGACACCTCAGAACATCCCCTGGGCTGTCTGGCTTGGCTAGATTCCTGGGAGCAGGGAGGTTCTGAGCACCTCTTCCATGTCCAGGCCCATGCTTTGCTGGAGCTGAAAGGAAGAAAGCTGTGCGCAGATGTGGAGTACTGTGCAAGCAGCTTGCCTGTTTGGAAACTTGCTTAGGTCTCAGAGAAGTGGGGATGGCATGTCACTTTGACAAAAGGCTGTTCCCTGTGGTGTTGTGTGCGCTGTTGCATGAAGGAATGAGCTCCTTGGAAGTTGGTCCCTTTACGTCTTCAGGGGAATCTGTGTGTCTGAAATCTGCATTTGGCCGCCTGGTCTGGGTAAGCATGAATGTGTGTCTCTCTCTGTTTTGGTTAGGTTTTGCCAGACCGAAGTCATCCCAAACTGCTGATGAGTGGCGGCGGGGGGTACCTTCTCTCAGGCTTCACGGTTGCCATGGACAACATAAAAGCAGACAGCACCAGCCTGAAACCCAGTGTGAGCACATTGGAGCCACAGGAGCCTGAGGAGCCAGCAGCTAAAAAACGCAAGTGCCCAGAGTCTGGCTCGTAATCCTGCAGCATTGGCTTCCATCTTTGTTCTCAGGCGTTATACAGGTAGTAATTAAACTTTAAATACCATTGCAATTGTTTATATTTCCTGTCCTAAGAGTAAGACAGTGTCCACACACGCTCTGTGGGCAGGAGGAGTCGGTCGGCCTTTCCCAAGCCTGTGACCCGGCGGGCCTGGCGCAGGTGGTGGGCTGAGCAGCTCTGTCGGTTTAGCAGAGCCCCCCCCGCAGTCCTTGAAGTGCACGGGCCGTGGGAGTTCAGCCTCCTGCGGGTCTGTTTCTACATGACTGAGGTTTATATTTTTAGCTAAGTGGAGTGGCACAACTTAGCTAAAACTTAGTGAGTACTGAAAGGAAGGAAGGAATTTCTGTTTTTCTTTCTCTCCAGCCTAAGCAATATGGACGTGTGAGAGTGTGAACTTGACAGTACCCAAGGTGCCCTGTCCCCTGCGGGACGGTGAGCATGGTCGCTGCTGGGCTATCTTTTAACAGTCGATAACCTGGGGAAGTTTTGAATATTTATTTTACTTTTTATTCCTTTTGAAAATACAGAGGTTTTAGTGGGTTACTTCTTTGCATTAATTTTCCAGTCCTCTCTTTGTTTTAAATAAAGTAACTAGAATTTTTGTGTAATATTGAATTGAAGGAAGCGGGTGTTTTAGAAACTTCAGATCTATTGATATGCAAGGTACATATGTTTATATGTGTATAGATGTTGCTAAATACATAAAGACAGAAAGAATGCACTACCTACAGACAGACACGAAACGTGCTATTTGAACCGTAACAAAGTTGAAGCAACACTTAAGCCAGTCTCATTGCATTGGTGTCACTGCTTGTCATACATATTCTAAAGTGCCTTTTTTTGGTGGTGGTTAATGTTGATCTAAAAAGCTCTGGCATGATCGGCGATTGGTCCATGTAAGCTCGAAAGACTGTGATCGGACTGTGATGAGCTGTGGCCGCAGAGAGCATGGCCCCGGCTCGCAGGAGTGTCTCCTGTGCGTGTTGGGCCTCTCGTCGGAGAACAGATGTGTGACCCGGTGGCGACAGCTCGGAAGGGGAGTGTTTGCGGCATGCGCTGTTCTCACCATGGCCAGTGTGATTACCAATGAGGACAGTCTGGATGCTTTTTTTTTTTTCTTAAAACAGTTGTATTCAATAAATAAAAGTGTTTCCTGTGGTCTAACTCACCGATGCAGTCATCTCTGGTACGTATCTCGGGCTGTCAGCCTGTCCTGTCTGGGCAAGAGAACATTCCTTCAGCAGCCGTCGCTGGGGTGCTGAACCCACAGGTTGTCCCTGCATGCAGCCGATCAGGTTGACAGGAACACAGAGACTGTGTGCGTGGACTAGAGTCAGTGGTGGTTGATCTCCTTTTGTCACTATTTTTAGAGCCATCATCTTTTGGGGATTCAAACCTATTTCCAAGTCCCATTTTTAAAAACGGGAACCCCTGCAGGGTTCTTAGAAATCGTTGGAGCCTGCTGGGAGTTCCTTATTCAGTAGGTCCAGGACGGCACATGATTTGGCATTTCTAGTAAGTTTCCACGTGGTGCTGATGCTGCCAGCCAGGAAAGCAGCCCCTGGCTGCCTGCGCAGTGTTACTCCCTGCCTCCTGGAAAATGGAGATCCATCTTTGGAGCAAGTGCACGGATCTTTTTTTTTTTTTTTTTTTAAGAGTTAAACAGAAGGCCCAGCGGCGTGCCTAGGGGCTAAAGTCCTCGCCTTGAATGCCCTGGGATTCCATATGGGTGCCAGTTCTAATCCCGGCAGCTCCACTTCCTATCCAGCTCCCTGCTTGTGGCCCGGGAAAGCAGTCAAGGATGGCCCAAAGCCTTGGGACCCTGAACCCATGTGGGAGACCCGAAAGAAGTTCCTGGATCCTGGCTCTGGATCAGCATAGCATCGGCCGGCCGTTGCGCTCACTTGGGGAGCTTTCCCAAGGCTACAAGCAGGGAGCTGCATGGGAAGTGGAGCAAGCAGGATATGAATCAGCACCATGTGGGATCTTGGTGCATGCAAGGTGTGGAGTTAAGCCACTAGGCTACTGCACCAGACCCAAAAGTGGTCTTAATGTATATGAATTTGGTGGTGGGGTAGAGTACATGTTTTAAAGATTTATTTATTTATTGGAAAGTCAGATATGCAGAGAGGAGGAGAGACAGAGAGGAAGATCTTCCGTGCGATGATTCACTTCCCAAATGAAGTGCTATGCCGATGCTATGCCAATCCGAAGCCAGGAGCCAGGAACTTCTTCCGGGTCTCCCACGTGGGTTCAGGGTCCCAAGGCTTTGGGCCGTCCTCGGCTGCTTTCCCAGGCCACAAGCAGGGAGCTGGATGGGAAGTGGAGCTGCCGGGATTAGAACCGGCGCCGATATGGGATCCTGTCGCTTTCAAGGCGAGGACTTTAGCCGCTAGGTCACGCCACCGGGCCCGACACTTTTTTAATAAAGTTTTTTTATTGGCAAGCCAGAGCTCCAGAGAAAGATTATCCGTCCATTGGTTCACTCTCCAAGTGACCATAATGGTCAGAGCTCAGCCAATCCAGAGCCATGAGCCAGGGTCGTCTTCTAGGTCTCCTGCCTGGGTACAGGGTCTCAGAGTTCAAAGCCATCCTCCACTGCTTTCCCAGGCCACAGGCCCGGAGCTGGATGGGAAGTGGAGCAGCTGGGACAGGAACCAGCACCCACATGGGATCCCGGCACATGCAAGGTGAGGATTTTAGCCACTAGGCTACCACACTGGGTCCCAAGATCCGATTTTTACACACCTCCTTGAACAAATGGAGTAATTCCTAGCAGCTTACAGCCTGCCGGCCTGCCGGCCTTTACTCGTCCCTTCCAACTATACACACACAGCCACTGAGAGGATACGGCCCTGTGCTTGGGAGACCCACCCCGCAAGCTATTCCCCACACCCTGCTGAGCAACCGCACGTAGCCATGGAGCCCCTTCGAGTGGCGTGCCCCAAGGTGTCGCCTCCGGAGGAACTGTCACTGTGAGGAACACATCGCCTCTTCCATGCCTGTCTGTCATTCTCACTGTCACCTAGTGACGTGTCTGTCTCCTGATGCCACCTCACGGGGGGAGCTTTTGTCTTGACCAGTTCCTGAGGCTTACTCACCTGGAGAGAAATCAGGAGGCAGATGATGTCCTAGAAGCCAGGAGAGGGAAGCTGAGGCGGGCAGAGGGGTGGGCAGTCCTCGGGGCAAGAGGAGGAACCCTGGACTTGACACCACCACTTGTGTGGCTGCTCGCCCCTCACCAGCTCCCCTCACCCCTCTCCTGGCATCCTCAAATCAGCCACCAGCACGTTCTCCCCCAAGAGCTTGGAAGCAAACATTCAGGCCATGTAGTCTCTTTCGGACTACGTGCTAAGCCACAGGCATGGTCTTAAATAATTCTCATGTCTTTTAGCTTTCCCCTGCAATCATTTAAAAATGCTGCCAATCATACAAACTCCCTGCGTTCCCAGCGTGGCCTACAGGTGTCCAGTTTGCTGAGCCCCAGTCGTTGATTTCCATTGCTTCCTTCAACCTGTCAAATACATGGCTTTAGCTTGCTCATTGTCAGCTGAGTTTCTGTTGAGGGAAGTACTGCCAGAAAGCCTAAGGAACCTACCGTTGCTGCTGTCCTCTGCCTTGGGTTCTGCTTTGAAAGCGTCTTGGCTTTCCCCCCCCCCCCCCTTAAGATTTATTTTTATTGCAAAGGCAGATATATACAGAGAGGAGGAGACAGAGAAATACCTTCCATCTGATGATTTACTCCCCAAGTGACCACAGCCGCCAGTACTGCGCTGATCTGAAGCCAGGAGCCCAGAGCCTCTTCTGGGTCTCCCATGTGGGTGCAGGGTCCCAAGGCTTTGACGTTGGATGATTAGGCATAATTGGCTTATTATGCCTAATGGGAATGAAACTTTCTGAAAATAGAGAATGAACATGAACTTTTAAAAAGATCATCCGTGGTCTGAGATCAAAGTTACCTTTGGAGTCCCAGAGCACCTTGATGAATCAAATAGACTCAGGTCTGGAATCTGTTCTAGAGAATGGAAAACCTTAAAGCTCCACATGGCTCTACCTTCACTTAAAATCTTTTTTTTTTTTAAGATTTATTTATTTATTGGAAAGTCAGATATACAGAGAGGAGGAGAGGCAGAAAGGAAGATCTTCCATCCGATGATTCACTCTCCAAGTGAGCGCAACGGCCGATGCTATGCTGATCCAGAGCCAGGAGCCAGGAGCTTCTTCCAGGTCTCCCACGCAGGTGCAGGGTCCCAAAGCTTTGAGCCGTCCTCGACTGCTTTTCCAGGCCACAAGCAGGGAGCTGGATGGTAAGTGGGGCTGCCGGGATTAGAACCGGTGCCCATATGGGATCCCGGGCGTTCAATTCGAGGACTTTAGCAGCTAAGCCACCACGCCGGGCCCAGTGTCTTGGCTTTGAACAACATGCAGCGCAGCTGCAAACTTGCCAGCACAGCCACATTTCCGAACAGAATGTCTGTAGGGTCCCGCACAATAGCCTCGTGATTAAATGCTTGCCTGCGTGTGCTGGCATTCTTTATGGGCATCGGTTCCCATCCAGCTCCCTGCTTGTGGCCTGGTAAAGCAGTGGTGGATGGCCCAAAACCTTGAGACCCTGCACCCACATGGAAGACCTGGAAGAAGCTCCGGGCTCCTGACTTTGGATCGGCTCAGCTCTGGCTGCAACCGTGATGGAAGATCTCTCTCTCTCTCCTTATCTTCTCTGTATATCTGCCTTTCCAATAAAAATAAGTAAACATTAGGAAAAAGAGAAATCTGACCTTGGCAAGGCTTAGCTAAGCTGTGGTCATCCCCCCCACCACCATCACTGCAGTGTAGAAACACCAGGGCCAAACCAAGAAGGCCATATTTGACCTCACCTGTCACAAAAGCTGTGTGATCCCCACCTGCCATTCCTGTACCATCACCCATAAGGATGCCCACACTGCCTTCCTGCTGTTCTGGTTCCAGAAGCATCTCCAAGCCAGGAGGCGCTGTGCTGTGCTGTTCCTGCCGACAGCTTCTCTCTGCGAGTGGCGTGGTATGTGCATGTGTGCGTGCAAGCCGGCATTCGGAGTCCTGAAGTTTTTTGTTTCTCTCCCAATGAGTGACCACCCTCCCCATTCATCTCAGGCTCCTAAAATTCTCTTTAGGAAATCGTTTTCTCCTAGACTGCTGTGGAATACAAGGCCAGTATAGACTGCATTGCAGGTGTGTGAGTATGTGGTAAGCATTTATCAGCATCTCCCATCAGGACATTAGAAGAGTTTTCACTGTGACTTATTACAGCTGCAGTTGTGTTGATGTCATAAAACTTGGCTTTGGGTGATTTCCAAAAGGAACACTAAAATAAAAGGTTAAGGACAAAAAGTTGATCTGGGTGGTGGTGGGGTGGTGGGCATGACTCCAGGAAACACCCGGGGGCAGCAAGACCGAGTTAAGGCAGGTAAGATAAAGGATGCATTGTGAAGCATGGCATCACCATGGCACCCAAGGCTCCATCCACTGTGGGAGGCCATTTTAGACTTGTTGCCCTGGCCTGTCTTATTGGGGATGAAATGTCTCCCCAAGAAAAGATGCTCCAAAGTCTGTCACCCCAGCCTTGTGCTGGGTATCAAAATGTGGCCTTATCCCGGTGCGGTGGCGCAGTGGTTAAGGTCCTCGCCTTGCACGCCCGGGATCCCATATGGGCGCTGGTTCTAATCCTGGTGGCCCTGCTTCACGTTTAGCTCCCTGCCTGTGGCCCGGGAAAGCAGTTGAGGACGGCCCAAGGCTTTGCAAGGCTTTGGGAACCTGCACCCGCGTGGGATACCTGGAAGAGGCTCCTGGCTTCGGATCGGCATAGCATCGGCCATTGCGCTCACTTGGGGAGTGAATCATCGGACGGAAGATCTTCCTCTCTGTATATCTGCCTTTCCAATAATAAAAAAAAATGTGGTCTTATCTGGAAGTAGGGCCATTGTATATGTAGTTAAAATGACACCATACTGGAGTAGGGTGGGCCAGAGTACCAGGCGAGGAGGCTCACTCAGGAGGGAGGTGACCAGGTGAAGTCGCTGCGTGTAGATGGCAGAGTGTAGTCACATGCTGAGAAGCCAGGGAGCATGACTGCCGACACCTTGACTTTGGACTTCCAGCCTGCAGAACCAGGAGACAGCATCTATTTTGGAAGCCACCTGATCTGCAGTATCTGATTATGACAGCCCTAGGAACGTATAGACTAAATTTTACCCACTGCAAAGACTGACTCCAACAGTCACGATCCAGCCCTCTCCCCCGCAGCCCTGGTGCTTCCCCTGGTCTTTGCAAACAAAGTCCTGAGGCCAGAGTAACAGACACCAGAGAGACAGTGAGCAGGCCCCAGAAGCGCGTTCAGAGTCAGGACAGCATGCCTTCAAATTCATGGCACGACAAAGCCACACTTTGCCAGCAAAGACACGTCACTGAGACGGTTAGATCTGTTAGTCTGGTTGAATTAGCATGGATAGTTCTTGAGTTGGCCAAGAGGAGCAGGGTCAGACCTTGCTCAGTAGATCCCCATATTCCCAGACAGCTGTGCTCTGTCACCTGCCAAAGTGGAGGAGATGAGTGTGAGCCGTTGAGCAACAAAATGGCAGGCTACAAAGGAAAGAGGCATCGCCCAGCTGCCAGTCTCGGAGAAGCTGCAGGGATTCCTCATAGCAGCCAATATTTCCCCTGCACTGCCACATGCCAGGCACCAAGTGCAGGCTCTTCTCAACCTCCAGTCAGCCTCATGACAACCCGATGGGACCAACATCTTTATTTTATTGGTGAAACTGAGGTTGCAAGGACAGTCAACTGACCGGTTACACATCTAGTTAGCAACAAGGCCAGGGTGCCACCACCACACAGGATGCAAGTCGGCTGGACCCAGAGGGATCGGGGATCTGTCTAGACAGGCCGGATGTTCAGACTCCAGATCCACAGTGAGGCTCGTGCTGCAGGCTTTCCCATCAGCCCGGGGAATGCCGGCAGATGGTGACTCCCTAAGGATGCCAGCTGATACACGGTTGGAAGTCATGCTGAAGGACGGCCTTCCCTCCTTTATAAAGATATCTTATGAATTTCATACATGCTGTTTTAGGCAAACAGCGATACCAGGTTCTTCAGGCCAATCTGGTTTTCATCCTAGGGGAACAGACGTCTGCTGAGCTCCTCTTTTACGTCCTGTAGTTTGCCCACTCTTCTGCATCAAAATATTTGCTTCTGTTTGTGCATTCAAAGCCCAACAAACCCCAATACAGCGAAATTTACTTTATTTGAAAGGCAGAGGGACAGAGAAGGAGAGACTGGGAGAGCTCCTATCTGCTGGTTCATTCCCTGAAAGGTGACTGGGTCGCCTGGCACTCCATGAGCCTGACACAGGCGGTGCCCCCTCTGCTGCTTTCCCAGGTGCACTGGGCAGGAAGTGGAGCGGTCAGGACCCCCACTGGTTCTCCAATCGGGATGCCGGCATCTCCTGTGGTACCTTAGCCCACTGCACCCCAGCACTGGACCCTATGTTTCAGAATTTAAAAAAAGAAAAGAAATAGATTTGAGAATCATACTCCTGATTTGCCCACAGGAAGAACCATGAAGCTTTTGGTCTTGAGTGAATCTTTTATTATTTCAAACTGAGACATGTTGTCAAAGAAAATAGCAGTCGTTGTCACAAGCATTTTAATACGTCTATTTTGCAAGAAAAAAATATGCTACAAGTCATGCTATTCAAATCCTCGATAGCATTCTGGCAAAAACTAAAGGCATCTTCAATCGTGTCAGACACTTAATGACTAGTAAATTCTACTTTCTGCCTTTGGGTAAAGGAGTGTGTCTTCCGGTGAAGTGGAGCAAAGTGGGGCTGCGTCTTAGTCCCCCACTCCTCTGAAACTCAGCCCCTTTGGCTGAACTTCTCAGCTATTTTCTGTAGTTCCAAATCCATCGCAGCCAAGTTTTCAAGTTCTTTTTCCTGGAAAATACAGAAGAGTGGATTTGTGAGCTTCCAGATCATTTTCCATGGCTACAGTTGGAGGGAATGTGGCTTGGGAACGGAAGCGGGGAGCCTGCAGCCTCCGTGGCTCTCAGTGTGAGAGCCGCGCCTGAGCTGCTGAGCCGTCATAGCAGCGGCACCCAGAACCGGCCGCAAGTGCAGAGCTCCTGCGTCTTCGCCAGGGCCGGGTGACTCACACACTCCAGGGCCTGGCAATCCTGCCTAATGCTCAGACACACGCAAGCTCAAGAAGCATGAATCTGTGGAATCAGTACTGGGGAGGGGGGAAGGAGGGTTGGGAGAGATGCGGCACCAACGTCACCTCCCTCCGATACAAACTTCTGATTGCAGTAGGCCGTGAGCGCATAGAGACATCAGAGCACCTGTTCTCCCTCTCCGGGAGCTGGTGATGAGCCACCAAATGACCAATGGAAGTCAGAGTGGTGGCTATCTTCCCTATGGTATTCCGCAAACACCTGGGATGCTTAAACGTGGTGTCCCTGTAGCATGGAGGGGGCATGGAGGGGTGGATTCCTGGCACAGAACTTTTATCAGGCTTTCCAGATTCTTCTAACATGTAGTCAAGGTTGAGATACACCACAATGGAGGCAGGTGGACAGAGATGGATGAAGGGTAGATGACTCCCTAGGAGTGACCTCAGTGCTGTCTCTAGGACTACACTCTCGGGGCGATGAAATCCCACCATTAGCCCCCCATCCCCCACCTCCCATAGCAGGACGCCAACACGGGTAACAGAAGCTGTGTACTGTACCTCATCCTCGGTCAGAACCGCCTCGTCTTCCCCGGCCCTTTCACGCTCTGCCTCGTGGCGCGGGCTCATCTGTTCCTCGGAGTCGTAGAAGTCGGGAAACTCAGCCGCCTTCTTCCGGTAGTGGAGCAGCCGGTCCAGCTCGGCCACCCTGTCGTACTGCCTTTTCAAATTCAGCTTGGGGGCCCTGGCGGAGCTCCTCTTCTCGTAGCCCCAGTTCACGTCCTCGGAGAAGGGCTTCCTCTCCCACCAGTCGTAGCTGTACTCCGGGAAGAAGGCCCTCTCATTCAAGGCCATCCCGTTTTCCTCTTCCCCGTCAAGAAAGTTGTCATCCAGGCTGTCTTTTTTCTCAAAGCGGCCATCCTTCCACTGGAGAGGGTCGAAATAAGGGTTGAAGAGCCCCCCTAATCTCTTCCTCCTTTCCTTGCTGGGATAGGGGCCCAATCTGTCTTGCAGCATCACTTCCTCTGGGGCTTGCAGGTCCTCCTGCCACGGCCACCTGCCCCGGGCTCCTTCATCTCCGTAGCTGAGGTACCTCCTCTCTGGCGCTTTCCACTCCCCTGGCAGTAACCGGCTTGCCTCGTCCATCTGGCTTTCCTGGACACGCCGGTGTCCATCACCCACGGACCCTTGCTCGCCTCTGGTGGTCAGGGAGAAACGGGCAGCTGGCTCTCCTCCCTGGCCCCTGCTACGGGGCCCCTTGCCCTGCTCTCGGCTCCTCTCCACCTCGCGCCCTTCGTCATCTCTGTGCGCCATGTTGTCAAGCTCCGGGCTGGGCTTCTCTCCTTCCTCTCTGCTCTCCACACTCTGGGGCCCCGGAGCCCTGTACGCCTCACTCCCTCTGCCCCCGTAGGCAGGAGCCCGGACACCTGCAGAACTCTTCCCTTCGGCCCCATAGTCGGGCTCCTCTTGGGAAGCCCTGGGGTGTGCTGCATGCTGGATCGCTCTTCCCCCTGCACCTGCCGTGCCCGCACTGGCCGCCTCCATCCCTGGGTGCGACTGCCCTCCTTCCTGCGAGCCCAGAGTCCCGTCCTGGGCCCTGTCAGGCCTGCTCCTCCCGTGGTGGTGTCGGGGCCTGGTGCGCCGTTTGGCCACCTCCACCGCGGCGTCCTCCCGGCTCTCCTCGGATTCTTCCTGACTCTGGGATTGGCTTGTGGGCTCAGGGGGGCGTTCCTCACGGCTCCCCATCTCCTCGCTGCTCTCCCGGCTGCTCTTCTCCCTGCTGTGTGTCTCCTCCTCGGAGTGGCCGTCCCACCTGGCCGCTAAGGCCGCTTTTGCCTGGGCCGCCGCCTGGCTTCGCTTGTCGGGAAGGACCTTTGGTGTCTCTCCTAGCTCTGTAAGCTGCCTCCCGTCGGTGGCATCTTCCCCGTGCCTCTCCTTCGAGTTATTCTCTCCCTCTTCTTCCTCACTGCCTGTTCTCACGGTCTCCTCAGATGGGCGCGTCTGCGCTTCTTTGGCAGCCCGGGGGCTGCTCCGAGGGGCCACGGTGCCCTCCTGGCCGCGCCCGCCGCCTGGGGCCCGGTTCTCCCCCTTGGCAGAGCCCCGTGCGTCTTCTTCTCCTTGTGCTGCCACCTCTGCCCTGCTCGACGGCCTCTGGCCTTCCGAAGCAGCCCCTGGGTCTCTTAGCAATCTGACTTCAAACTTGGTGTTTTCATTGCCACTTTTCTCTTCATCTTTGGCCTCTCTCCCACCTTAAACGAAAATAGAAAAGTCAGTATAATTTCAAAATCGCGTGTCATTCAGTAATCACCAGCATCCGAAAATCTTGCAGATCCTAAGGACATTGAAAGGTTCTTGGATAATCTTTTCAGTTCATCAAGCATATTCTCAAATTCTTTTTTAAAAGATTTATTATATTTTTTATTGGAAAGGCAGATATGCACAGAGGAGAGACAGAAACATCTTCTGTATGCTGGTTCACTCCCCAAGTGGTCACATCGGGCAGAGCTGAGCCGATCTGAAGCCAGGAGCCTCTTCCAGGTCTCCCACGCGGGTGCAGGGTCCCAAGGCTTTGGGCCGTCCTCGACTGCTTTCCCAGGCCACAAGCAGGGAGCTGGATGGGAAGCAGAATTGCCGAGACATGAACCTGCACCCAGGGATCCCAGCAAGTGCAAGGTGAGGACTTTAGCCACTAGGCTACTGCGCCAGGGCCTCTCAAATTCTTTTTAAAAGCAAATACCATTTTAAAGTTTCTTGGCTGTTTTCAGCCTAATCATCTCCATATTTCTGTGTTTCTATACTACCCAGCCAACATCTCTCAGCTGTACTAGCCATGACCAAACTGACAGCCAGAAACGCAGTTACAAAACAACAGAGTAGAACCAGATGCACCCCCCTCTTTTGGTAGACATTAAGACCCAGAAAAGTATGTTTCTGGATCATTCTTTCCATCTTTCCTCTATGGAAGACTTAAATAATTACCGTGGTGTAATTGACTCTAAGCAAAATCTCCATAAAACAAAGTTAAATAGCCACAGGCAGAAATATCAAGAGTCTGTTGCCAGCCGCATCTGTATGTACTGGCTACATGCCGTACCCAAAATGGCGCCGGCTGGAAAAGCCACACCTTGGTTCCTGGTGACGTAGCTTTCACGGTACTGCGCAGGCGCCTAGCGCATGCGCAGTGAGCTGAGGCGTGGCCGGCGCATGAACACTGGGACTGACGAATCCAGTCGCCCAGGAACCTGTGTAATCATGACGCCGACCTATCATCGGCAGAGGCGGGGCCAGTCAGCACATAAGAGCAGACAGCCTGCCGGGGTCGGAGCCTTTCCCTCCTCATCTTGGCGCGCGCAATAAAGATTACCGCAGAAGACTTCACTCGCATCTGCCTCTTATCGCCGGACGATAAGAAACGTGGGCGCGACAAGAGTCCAAGGAGGAGTTAATATGTTTAAATTGTGAGTTTATCTGGCACCTGTTATCCAATCAACATGAACTTTGCAGAGTTGATCCCACAGGAAGTGACGCTAGCTAGAATTCAGGAACTGGAGAGACACTTGGCGTGTTTCTTTCCTGTAAGCAGCGGGCAGGACCAATTCTTCCAGCCAAATGTGTTGTCAGGCATAGAGGATAACCTGCCCTGCACTGCGCTGTTCTGTTTGGTGAGCTGGCAGCAGATGGTATAACTGATACTTTAATGGAAGGTGGTTCTCTTCCACCTTTTCCACCAACTCCTTTGCTAAATCCTCACTCCCTTCTGAAACGAGCCACTCAGCTAACACTGTCTCAGCCACCAGCTGGGACAGCTTGGGTTTCACTGCATGGCACTGGGTCCCCACAGAACACCCGAGGCCAAGGCCACGGACGGCTCTGGGCGTAAATCTGCACCATCTGTTGCGGGAGCCACTAGACCTTTGTGCTACCGAGCCACAGATGAGGTTGGTCCAGACGGGGGGTTGGGGGGGGGATGTACAGGCCATGTCAGATGCACCCCAGATTTCCAAGACACCCTAGGGGTCAGGGCATCAGATCTCTCAATAGTCTTTCCCATCTGCTTTATCTGAAAATGCTGGATTCCTGGCTGGCGTTAGTGCTAACTGCCTGAGCTGTCTGTCGGCCAGATGCTGACGTCAGCCCGAGCGTCGGTTGACTTGGAACTGATCAGAAAGGATCGCCCCTTTCCTGCTGCTAATGGGGTCTCAGTGTCAAGAACACAGTGTTTTTATTTTTTTCCCCCAGTTCAGTGTTTTCTGTGGAGAGCAGCTGGTGCCTAAGGCTTCGCACTTCTTTCTAAATTGAGCTCTAAGTCTCAGCAGGTGATACTGGCCGAGGGCGGTGATGACAGCACACAGTCACTGGCACTCTAGAGAGCCCAGGTGGGAAGCTCATTCTTCTCAGCTGCCAGGGGGGAAGTGCATGTCTCATCCTAACCGCTGTGCTGCAAGAACTGCGAGATTGCCCTGGCCCAAGAGAATTCTGTGTCCATGAAGAGACTGGGCAGTGTGTCTGTTGCACGAGGCCTCTGACAGCTACAAGGCAATGATGCTTCGTTACTCCCCAGACACCCATTTGCCCAGCGAGTGGATGCTGACTCAGGATACGCAGGAGGAAGAGGGGGAGAGGGCCTTCAGCACAGTCCTTAAGACCCCAACTGGGGGCCTGGTGCGATAACCTAGTGGCTAAAGTCCTTGCCTTATACACGCTGAGATCCCATATGGGTGCCCGGATCCCATATGGCCGCCAGTTTGTGTCCTGGCAGCCCCACTGCCCATCTAGCTCCCTGGCTGTTACCTGGGAAAGCAGTCAAGCAGAGTCCAAAGCCTTGGAACCCTGTATCCATATGGGAGACCTGGAAGAAGCTCCTGGCTCCTGGCTTTGGATTGGAGCTCAGCTCTAACCATTGTGGCCACTTGGGAAGTGAATCATTGGATGGAAGATCTTCCTCTCTGTATATCTGACTTTCCACTGAAAATAAATAAATAATTATAAAACCAAACAAACCTGGGATGCCCATATTCCACCCTGGCATGCCTGAGCCCAAGTCCCAGCTCTGCTTCCACTCCCACCATCTTGTGAACGTGTACCCTGGGAGGCAGCAGCGATGGCTTGAACACGTGGGTCCCTGCCCGGCACCCTGCCCCAGCCCTGGCTGTTGTGGGTATTTGGGAGATGAATCGGAGGCTGGAAGATTTCTCTATGTCTCTCTTCCCGGTCTTTCAAATAAATTAAATGTTAAAATATTAAATAATTTAAAAAGAAAAACACGTTCAGCAGGGGGAGCAGAGATGAGCATCAGGCGGGATGAAGGCTCGGTGGAATACCTCGCCTCCGCCCAGGGCTCCAGGCTCCACTCTCCAAGGCATAACCAGAGTAGGACAGACATTGCACACTGGAGCCCCAGGGCAGAGGCCCAAGCAGCATTTTCCATCAGTTCAAGTTCAAACTACTGGAGGGCAATGCTTTAAAAAGAAACATTAAAACTTCTTTTGAAAAACACCTCAAGATCTGATAACAGGGTTGTATTTCTCCACTCTAAGGAGCTAGGGAACATCTGCTTCCCCTTCAGAAGGGACTGACAGCTTCCGGGTGTGAAGCAGTTCCTCTTGTACTGTGTGTTATCTGTGTAGGCCTGGCTGGGGCTCAGGGCTGCAACCTCAGAGGGGCTCTGGCGCTGTGCTCCTCTGGGTACAGTGTCCCCAGGATCCTTGTAACATGGGCCATTTTATTTGTATCCATTTCCTAGGACTCTCAACAGACGCTGGAAAGACTCCAGGAGCCTAAGCCCGATTGATTTGACACCTCTGGCTAAGCAATCATGGTTCCCTGGTGACCTGAATAAATATCTCTTTCTGTTGCATCCATCTGGTACCTGCTGCTCTCACGCCCTGTAATGATCCCGAAACACGGTAGGGGAGAATGCAGAAGGAGGCGGTAGGCTGTGGGAACACGCTGTTCCTGTGGCATTGCAGCCCCAAGGTTGAGGAGGTTCCCTCACTGAAGCCACCAGAGGTGAACTGAGTTTCTTTGGCTAAGTTTTCTGGACAGTGTCCAGCATTACTTATTGTCTCTGTGTTACGCATGAGGGTTCATGAGCAGCAAGAGCAAGAGAAATCTGCAGTGATATTCTAAGGGGGAAAAAAATAATAATAAAATTCAACCGTTCCCAGGTTGGCCGCAAAGTGAAAGAGGGCAGTGTTTTCTGGGTTTGTTTAGATCAGCTTGACTTTACCCAGAGAAGATTGTGTTGATTTTGTAAAAGCGGTCGGTTGCATAATGTAGATACTGCTTATCCCATGGCTCAGATTTGTGTTTTCAGAGGAAGCTATTTAATACTAGGGAAGACTCGGGATAGACGCAAGTCTTTCATCTGACTCATTGGGAAATGTTCTGTTTCCCCTACATCCTCGCCTGAGCACCCAGTACCACTTGGCAGTGCCTTCCATTCGAATAAACTCTGCTTTGAAATGTCTTCACTAATCTGTCGTGTAAGCAGGCTGAGGGTTTCCAGGCCACGCTTCTAAGCTTCTAACGTCACACTGTCAGAGGAGGAGAGGGCATGGAGGAGAGGGACTTTTCCATCTGTAGCCCTTGATCTCCCCGACTCCCAGGATCACCTCCTCAGTGACTCACACACAAGCACTCCTCACATCGCCTTCCATCCCAGGAAAGGTCTGTTCGAGAATGTGAAATATGGAATGAAGGGATCTGAGAGCTGCTACGCATCCACCAAGGTTCTGGTGGAGTCCAACACCTTCACATTGCTTCAAGGTAGTAAGCACACGAGGCAAGGGTCCTTCCCTAGAGTCACCTGCTGAGTGGCAGAGCGGGGACCGGGGGGCCAACCTTCTGTCTTCCAAACACCAGTGCAGCCAATCAACACCATCTCTCTCCTTGCTGCATGATGTCGCACGCACCCTAAATCCCAAGTGGAAGGTGAGAGGGAGAGAGCAGGAGAAAAAGGAAAACCCACTGCAGGGACAAAGCGCTGCCTGCAGGGGAGGCACTTACTGTTCTTCAGGACTTGTCGGCACTCGGGGGTGATAGGTGGTGCGTTGGACTTGGACAGAGCACTTGAGAGGACCTCGATGATGCAGCGAGTCACCTGGGGGAAGACCCAGAAGCAGGTGGAACAACTGGTATCCCAAGGATGACAGATTGGCTCCCTGGGTCAAAGCTAATGGGAAGGATGCCTGCCCAAGTGACCTGGGCAAGTGTCCCTTGGACCCAGATTTGGAGGACCATAAGGAACCCTCCCAAGCCTCTATACAGGATGGTTCAAGAGAGCACTGGATTGGGAAGGGAAATAAATGCCCATTTCTGAACAAGGACAATGAAGGACACTACCATGATGACAGAGCTATCCCTTGGCCGGGTGGGGGAGGGGCTGGGCACTAAGCCTTCCCAGAAGGATGGAAAAACACAGCCCCAAAGGAGCATTCTTTGTTCCCATTCTCTCAGTGACAAACACCTGCCACACACAACCATGCTGTGTGTGTGTATGCATGTGTGTGTGTTTGACTTGGTCTGATGATGGGAGAAGCCTATAATAGATTCTGGGCTGACATTTCAACTTACCATCTCTTCATTGTGGTTCCTGTTGTCCAGTGGCACGGCACTGACAGCTTTGAAGGAGAAAAAGAATGATGAATATCTTGATTTTTTGGAAGCCACAAGAACCCAGGCTCATGCACTCACTGCCAGTAGTTGGAGGGCAGGCACCTCCGAGCCGAGCCGATCAGACAGCAGATAGCTAGGGGTGCTTCCTGCAGCAACCTCAAGCGCCCTGGCTGAACTTACACACATGCCATCAAAGGGCTTCCCCCTCACACTGTCTTCAACATATTTCCAAGCAATTGCTACCTTATATCCAATGTGCAGTCAAATCCAGAACACAGACAATTTCTTGAGTTGGTTGCTCAATTTTTGAAAATTTCACTAAATGTTGTACTCATGATCTTGGCAGTTGCTTACATATTCTACATTCATACAAGTTTAAAAACAAACCAGGTCTACATAGAACCAAGACGTTTTCCTCCGCTGTTCCCTTCGTTCCCCCGCCCCCTTAAAGATTTACTTGTTTTCCTGAAAGTCATAAAGGAGGTGAGAGAGAACACCCACCCTAAGGTCCACTCTTCAAATGGCTGCAGAGCTTTGGCCAAACCGCCCACGTGGGTGGCAGGAGCCCAGACACTTGAATCATCTTCTGCTGCCTTCCCAGTTGTACCAGCAGGGAAACCCATTGGAAGAGGGGTAGCCAGCACTCAAACCAGCACCCAAATGGGACGCTGGCATCGCAGATGGTGCTTAACCCTCTGCACTATGGCACCGGCCCTGCACCTTTTCTTTGTGTCTGCAATAACAGACCAACAGCTGTAGCCCCTTCTAGCTATTTCCACTCTCAACAAAATATCACCTCCTAAACTCCCTTGCTCCATGCAGACATAGTTGTCACTTAATTCCTTGCCTTGTTTTCACCCAAGGCCTTTGCCTGAAAAGGTTACACACGCACCTGCCTCATGGGCTTCCTCTCGCCTACGCCGGCTACAGCCATTAAAGAAAGGGCAAGTTCCCTAATTCTCCTGGGACAGCGTCAACGCCATAACATCAGGCACGCACTAGTGTTCAGCAACTAGCTTATGAGAACATTGTAAAAGGAAAAAAATTATGTAATTAAGTTGTAAGAGATTCTACCTATGTTAAGACAACGTTTGAAGTGCCTTTCTCTTAAGAAATGTTCCTGCTGATTTAAGTTTTTGTGTACCATTTTTTTCCTCCTTTGACACTATTTAATCTTTGGCCTGTCCTTTGCTGTGTCTAAGCCGTTTCTACAGAGGAACTCAAACATTTGCCTATGGGCCCATCTCTACCGTTCTACCCCCTGGCATCCTTGAGGGGGATAACTGCTGGCAGCAAGGGAGAAGCTCTAGGGAGGCAATGAGTCTAGGGTCCTGGAGCAACAGAAGCAGCAGCAGTTGGGCTAACAGCAAAAACCTCCAGACATCAGTCTTGGAAGGTACCTGACTGCAGTTTGCTTAGAATCAGCGACGTGCCCTTTCTGCCCCAAATGCTTCATTCTTCAAGCCTCTATAACTGGCGCCCAAATTAATGACCTGTCATGGGGATCAACTCAGAACAGCTGTTCGACTCACTCACTTTGACACCCTGAGCATTTAGAAGCTTTACCAAACCTTCTTTGTTAAATCAGTTCTGTGCTAATATTTTTCCCTCCCTCGTAAATGTAAAATATGTGGGTTTTTTTTAAATGAACTAATGGTATTGTCAAACTGTCAGAATTAAGATTTCGCATATTTATGAAAAAAAATATTTTTCTTTCTTTTGTGCATTTAAGTAATTTGTAGCTGATGTTTGTAAGTACAGGAAAATCCTACTTCTCTGACTGGTACTATTCAAACATCTTGGACAGAAAGAAATGAGAGTGGGCTTGTGAAAGCTTATTACACTTCTTGGTGAGACATCTACAATGTTGCTGTATTTCTTCCAATGCAATCTGTGACAACAGTAAAACCCCCCAAAATCAGGTTGAGTGCCATAGAATAGTTGAAGTTACATTTGTACACAGTAAGATTCAGGGGTTGCAAAAATAAAATGTTCATGTTCAAAGTAAAGTCATGAAATGGTAGAATATAATAATCTGAGAATATTTCATAGTGTGATTATGATTTGATCACAAACTGAAAAGAATAGCTGTGAAATAGGTTAAACAAGCTTTTCTGACAGTGAGTTATGAAGATCCCGAGTTCTTCCTAAAATGTGGGCCAGACCACATCTGAATGACAGAAACCATCTCACCCAGCATACCACAGAAATCATGCTTTCATATTTCTCTCTGGAGTGTGCACCAGCTATTATGAAAGATTGTGGATCCCCATCGAGAAGTTTCTAATAGTAGATGATGAACTAAATGGTTTCCTGAGGTTTCTCTCAATCTCATGATTGTGCTGAAGAAACAGATCGTACTGGAAGGCATCAGGCCTTGTAAGCAGAGGCTGGGGGCAGGAGCCAATGGTGAGTTAACTACTAACAGATACACCGTGTCTTTTCTGGGCTGATGGGAATATTCTGAGATTTGATAAGAGTGCTGACTATACAATGTGTGGATATACTAAAAACCACTGAATTACACACTTTAAAGGGTGGATTTTATGGCTTGTGAAAAACAGTTTTAAAAAAATCTTTTTTAAAAGGATATCCTGTACCCATTCTGTTACATAAGCGCTCTGGGTCTTTTATCATCACAGTTCACTAAATCCCACACATGTCAGTGTTCCAGGTCTGTTGCAATATAGGCAGCACAGTTACATCCCCTCAGTCCCTTTCTGGGAATACTCTGGAAGGAATTCTAAATGGTTTATTCTGCTTAATCGAGAAATATACCAACAACGTATAAAAATGAAAAAAAAAATTTTAGAAAACACTGAATGGAGGTAGCTTGCCATCAAACAAACTGCCCCTGGCTGTCATTCTGTCTCTGTAGTTGGGATCTGGCAATTTCTGTCAATGAACGTTGCAGAGCAATGGTGGCAATTATTTTAACTCTAGCTAGGAATCTCAAGCTCGATGCCAGTTTGCTAGAAACCATTGAAAGGACCCCAGAAAACCTCTACTTCAATCCACGGTGCTACACTCTCAACACTTTCAATAGACACAATATTGTTACTTCCACACGTACACACACGCACACACTTCTGAAATCTCCGAGTATTGTTTTCCTTCAGATTTAGAGTAGCTGGAAACATTAATCTCACAATCTTTCACACAGCAAAAGAAACTCAAAATTCAACGGCTTGAAATGTCATCCTCCTGAGTGGCCTGAATCATTTTGTTTTTACTATTTGTAAGATCCTTTTTTGCAGTTATTTTCTACACCAATTGTTTTTCCTGGAGTGTAAAAGTAAATAAGAATGTCTACTGCTGTTTCCATTCATAACTTTAAAGTAGTGTGACATCTTTCCACATATGAAAATACAAGAACACACTAAACACAGATAAAATATATTATATATGAACGCTTTTCAAAAGGCATGTTCCGTCTCTTCAAGTTTATATCACAACAGAGGTAATAAAAATAATACAGGAAAACAGGTGCCAACTAATATCATACTGCATGTGCTCTTGCCTTCGGAGACTCAAGACACAGAGAGCTGACATCCAAAATGAGCACAAAATGTGACTTTCCTTGGAGGTGCAGCACATTTGCTTCCTAGAAAAAGAGGACTCTCCAGGCTCAAGAAGGGAGCCCTCGGGTTCTTTCCAAGTCAGTCGGTGGGGAGGGGAGCGAGCTGAAGGGAAACACCCAGGCAAGAGAAGCAGCAAAAGCAGAAAACCTGCCCCTCGACCTCCCTCTCTCCCAGAACCCGCGCCCGGGATGCCCGCACGCCCGGAGCGGCCCGCAGGACCCGGGCCAGCGCTGTCCGCGGTGCTGAACGGCCCGCCGCGCCCACTCACCCGCCAGCACCGCGGCTCCCAGGAGGCTGAGAAGCCATGCACGCAGCATGGTCCCGGCTCGCCCCCAAGCTGCGCGGCCAGGGGCTGCTGCTGGCCCGGGGAGAAGCGAGGTGTCGAAGGCTGGCGAGACGGCGGTGCTCCGGGAAGGCAGTCCTGGGTCCCGGTCCCCGGCGGTGCGGCGCCGGCAGGCGCAACCCCGCTCTTTTAAAGGGCAGGCGGGGGCCGCAGGCCCGGGAGGAGCGGACAGCCGGGAGGCGGCACCCCCTCGCCCAGCCTGACGTCACGAGGCAGCCCCCCAGGGCGGCCGCGCAAGTGGGCGGAAATTTACGCCAGTCCAGGCGCCTGGCTGCGCAGGGTCCGGGACGGGGGTGGGGCGCAAAGCAGGGCGCAGGGAAGACAGGCAGGGAAGTTGGTGCAGATGCGCAGCAGCGGGAGAGGCGAGGAGCCCTGCGTGCTTGGATGGCGCCCCATCCCGCACCCCACCCCCACTTCCAATTCTGGAAGCGTGTGCCGGAGGCTGCGTGCACACGCGTGTGCTCCTGCAGAGACAATGTGTGAGTAAGTCTGATTTGTGTCTCCACCACCTGAGAAAGAGACGCTCGCCAGGGAGAGCGAAGGGAAGGATGGCTTCAATAATAAAAGGGGCACCAGAATATGCGACCTGATGTTACTTCAAACTTTCGGGCTTTTTATCTCCCCATGATTCATTTTCTCTATTTCTCTCTCCCTCGCTCGCTCTCTCTTCTCCTTTATCCCCCCTCCCCACTCTCCTCCCTGTCGTGATTCATAATATACATATACACGGTTACAAATAAAATCGGATGGCACCACGGATTTTCCTCCCTGCAATTCTCAAACTGTGCAGCTCCCCCTCAGCATCAACACTTCAACCTTTTCTGTGGTTGACTTAGGAGCGCACGCAGCTGCATCTTGGGAAGGACTCTGCATGGATACAGGATTTGTGTAGCCAATCCCCTTTCCATCTCTATTCCTTTGCCACACAGCCAGTCTCATATGTAGGAACTATTGCATCCTACGAGTCTTGTCCATTCTCTCTAGCTTTAACAAGCGAAACAGTATTTTGAGTATGTGTGAGAGCAAGGTGAAAACATCTTTCAGAATATTTTTGGCACAGATTCTCTAGGATGAATGAGGA